AACTAAAATAAAAAAATTGCAGAGATTTGCAACTAGATTATTAATGCCAGAGCTTAGAGGGGGTCAAGTTATGAGGACAGACTGAAGGAACTAGACCTCATAACCGTAGAAGACAGAAGAAATAGAGGAGATATGATAACAACGTACAAGATACGGAAGGTAACAGACAAGGTGAGCAATGACAGCTTCTTCAAGTTGAGAGACAGAAGGACAAGAAGACACAAGTGGAAGATGGTAACACAAATAAGTCGTAGACGTGTAAGGAGATACTGGCACCCTGTTAGCCGGTGGCTGAGCTGACAGAACACTGGACGCGTGATCCTGTGGTCCCGGATTCGATCCCGGGCGCCGGCGAGAAACGATGGGTAGAGTTTCTTTCACCCCTGATGCCTCTGTTACCTAGCAGTAAATAGGTACCTGGGAGTTAATCTGCTGTCACGGGCTGCTTCCTGGGGGTGGAGGCTTGGTGGCCACGGGGATACCAAAGCCCCGAAATCATCTCAAGATAACCTCATCTCAAGATAACCCTGTACGAGTAGTCAACAAGTGCGGTCAAATGAGAGAAGTCATGGAAGCCACCTCTTCCATTCACAACTTCAAGAAAAGGTTTCATAATCGATTTTGATCGTTAAAATAGTGAAGTTATAACACAACAGTTAGAACAAGGACAGTAGGCGGGGTACAAGAGCTAGAGCACACTCGCCTGTAGTCACTGACTGGTAAGTACACTCCTCACACCACAAGGACACACTCCTGTAGTACACACAGTACACACAGTACACACAGTAATACAGAGATGGTTCGTAACATCACTGTATCGACTGAGTAGTAGCTGTAGCAAGTTTAATTCTGCCTCCTTTATCATCACTAGTAATTATTGTGTCTTAAACAATTAACACAATCTTGTGTTGTGTCTCCCGTCACATTTTCCATCATAAACTGCACTAACATAACGTAACAATGATAGCAATAGAAAACAAAACTAAATAAATTAAACTAGGTACAATAATATATATATATATATATTATATATATATTTATAGCACCTAATGGGCCAAGTTGCCAAAGAAGCCGAATTTTCCTTAAATACTATATTTTCAAATATTTTTTTCATATGGAATGATGCAACTTTCCTTTATATGATATATATGATTTTTATTTCCTTTACTCTGATTCAAAACTGACAGAAATTTTATCAAACCTAACCTGACCTACCAAAATCCGTGACCTAACCTATCCTAACCTAACCTAACCTTCCTAACCTATCCTAACCTAACCTATCCTTCCTAACCTATCCTAACCTAACCTATCCTTCCTAACCTATCCTAACCTAACCATTGCTAACCTATCCTGAACTAACATAGCTAAGTCACTAATCCATGTTCCAAATATAATGGATTATTATTATTAGAAAAGAACCAATCTTAAAACAAATATTTGAAAAAACTGAAAATCATTCTGACTGCTAGGCAACTCAGGCCTTTCATACTGAGCCCTGAAGTGCGGTTCTGCTATTAGCCACTACATTATAAGATATATATATATATATATATATATATATATATATATATATATATATATATATATATATATATATATATATATATATATATATATATATATACACACACATATACACAGTTTAGGTAATGTAATGTGGGAGTGGAAACTTACAGATTGTGATGTCAGGCGATTCAAGTAATGAATCAATGGTATACCTTGCCTTAGCAAGGATATAAACGACATATTATATATATACATATATATGTCGTACCTAGTAGCCAGAACGCACTTCTCAGCCTACTATGCAAGGCCCAATTTGCCTAAAAAGCCAAGTTTTCCTCAATTAATATATTTTCTCAAATTTTTTTCTTATGAAATGATAAAGCTACCCATTTCATTATGTATGAGGTTAATTTTTTTTATTGGAGTTAAAATTAACGTAGATATATGACGAAACCTATCCAACCCTACCTAACCTATCTTTATAGGTTAGGTTAGGCTAGGTAGCCAAAAAAGTTAGGTTAGGTTTGGTTAGGTAGGTTAGGTTGTCGAAAAAACATTAATTCATGAAAACTTGGCTTATTAGGCAAATCGGGCCATGCATAGTAGGCTGAGAAGTGCGTTCTGGCTACTAGGTACGACATATATATATATATATATATATATATATATATATATATATATATGTCGTACCTAGTAGCCAGAACTCACTTTTTGGCTTACTATTCAAGGCCCGATTTGCCTAATAAGCCAAGTTTTCATGAATTAATTGTTTTTCGACTACCTAACCTACCTAACCTAACCTAACCTAACTTTTTCGGCTACCTAACCAAACCTAACCTATAAAGATAGGTTAGGTTAGGTTAGGTAGGGTTGGTTAGGTTCGGTCATATATCTACGTTAATTTTAACTCCAAAAAAAAAAAATTGACCTCATACATAATGAAATGGGTAGCTTTATCATTTCATAAGAAAAAAAATTGAAAAAATATATTAATTCAGGAAAACTTGGCTTATTAGGCAAATCGGGCCTTGAATAGTAGGCCAAAAAGTGAGTTCTGGCTACTAGGTACGACATATATATATATATATATATATATATAAAGCCTAAACAACCACTTCTAGCAGTTGTCTACAAAGTAAACTTGTCAATATATTATACATTTTGTTTTTAGATCACATGTAAGAGTTACGGAGTTTAGAATGTCGTTGAGAGAAGCGGAAGTTGTCGTTACTGGAGCGACACGACAACATGCAACATGAACCTTCTTGACACCCGGACAAATGTGCTCTGTTCTGTGGTTAATGCTTGCCTGATTAATGCTGTCGTGATTAATGTTATCCTGGCGGGGGGGCTAATGCTCTCGTGATTAATGCTATGGTGATTCACACGGTGGGTCTGGCGCTACACACAAACTCACACACTTACAAAACTTTCAACATGGAAACAAAAATGCTGAATTTACAAATATAATTGAAATGAAATATATGAAAAGTAGTTAAAACTTTGGAATAAGGAATCCTTATACGGACCTATCTGTATGTAAACGCTTTATTTACTTCTGGAAGATAATATAGTTACAGTATTATATTCATAAAGAACTACTATATCAATGGGTTACGTTGAGAGATTACTTTGGCATCAAAGTTGGGGGGATTATTTTGGCCTCAAAGTTGGGGGGGATTATTTTGGCCTCAAAGTTGGGGGATTATTTTGGCCTCAAAGGTAGGGGATTATTTTGGCATCAAAGTTGGGGGGATTATTTTGGCATCAAAGTTGGGGGGGGATTATTTTGGCCTCAAAGTTGGGGGGGGATTACTTTGGCATCAAAGTTTGGGGGATTATTTTGGCATCAAAGTTGGGGGATTATTTTGGCCTCAAAGTTGGGGGGGATTATTTTGGCATCAAAGTTTGGGGGATTATTTTGGCCTCAAAGTTGGGGGGATTATTTTGGCCTCAAAGTTTGGGGGATTATTTTGGCCTCAAAGTTTGGGGGATTATTTTGGCCTCAAAGTTGGGGGATTATTTTGGCCTCAAAGGTAGGGGATTATTTTGGCATCAAAGTTGGGGGGATTATTTTGGCCTCAAAGTTGGGGGGATTATTTTGGCCTCAAAGGTAGGGGATTATTTTGGCATCAAAGTTGGGGGGATTATTTTGGCATCAAAGTTGGGGATTATTTTGGCCTCAAAATTGGAATAGACAACAAGGCCCATATTAAATTTTAGTGATAGGAATAACTGGTCTCATTAAACCATTACTCTACAACCCTAACATTATCTCCATTATTACAACTGTAAAATATAAACCACAAATATGTAAATATGAATTTCAAACACGGCAACAACACCTTTCATTTGTTTGTTTACATTCTAGAGGTGATGACGTCACATGTAAACACCAGAGCCAGAACAGCTGGTGGCGGAGGTGGTCGCCATGGCAACATCACACACACACACACACACACACACGCGCGTGCGCACGCGGGGTACATGTAAAACATCGAGGGGGATAAGGTGAAGGGGATTAATACATAAGTCATTGGCTTGGATCCTTCTGTGTGTGTTGTACTGGGCCCACCTGGGGAGGAGATTGCATTCTGAGGTATTTTTTTTTTCTTCTTTATATTACAAATGTAGTTTTAAGGTGTGGAAAGTCTCTGTCTCTCTGTCTGTCTGTCTCTGTGTCTCTTTATCTCTCTCTCTCTCTCTCTCTCTCTCTCTCTCTCTCTCTCTCTCTCTCTCTCTCTCTCTCTCTCTCTCTCTCTCTCTCTCTCTCTCTCTCTCTCTCTCTCTTTCCCCTGACACACACACACACACACACACCGTACATCTTGACACAACTTTATCGAAACTAGTCTCTATCTTATATATATATATATATATATATATATATATATATATATATATATATATATATATATATATATATATATATATATATATATATAAAAGGACACATTCGGGAAGCTTGACACAAACGAACGCTTCTTGTAGAGCCATATTAAGATCAGGAGGTGTGTGGAGTCCAGAGATATGTGGGACAGGTGTGGGGAGAGTCCAGGGATGTGTGGGACAGGTGTGGAGAGTCCAGGGATGTATGGGACAGGTGTAGGGAGTCCAGGGATGTGTGGGACGGGTGTGTGGAGAGTCCAGGGATGTGTGGGACAGGTGTGGAGAGTCCAGGGATGTATGGGACAGGTGTGGAGAGTCCAGGGATGTGTGGGACAGGTGTGGAGAGTCCAGGGATGTGTGGGACGGGTGTGTGGAGAGTCCAGGGATGTGTGAGACGGGTGTGGGGAGTCCAGAGATATGTGGAACAGGTGTGTAGGAAGTCCAGGGATGTTAACCTCAGCAATATTACAAAATATATTTTTCAAGTAGCTTTCAAGTTGCACTCCATATAACATTCATATTATATATATATATATATATATATATATATATATATATATATATATATATATATATATATATATATATATATATGAAAACTCTTGACCTCTGAAGGATTCGAACCTGGCCAGCCAGGGCCTCCATGCCCCGTGGCATTTCCAGTACTATAACCACTCAGCCACAGACTGTACACATTAACTGTCTGTGGCTGAGTACAGACAGAGTCCCAACACGACTTCTACCTCCAAGCTCTCTCGACGGCAACACACACATGGAACTATGTACAATCTGACCTTCGCTCGTTTAATTCCGTTTTAAAATGAAACAATCAACATGCAAGAGATACAAATCATTTTACAAAACACTCTCACCCGATTGCTTCCCTATCTTTTGCTTAGCACCCACGAGAAAAAAATAGAATTCAACTTCTCTCGTTTGGAAGAGGCCTAGCTAGAGGCCCACAGCGCTCTAAGCCTGGTGCCTCACAAGAAAAAAACTTTGAAGCCCAATAAAATAACACAATGAACTGGACCCAACGATCACAGCTGAAACTGTAGCCTGTAGCTGGTGGTAACATTTGTGGCAAATTATGTACTTGCCGCCGTGAGAAATCCTGTGTTACCTTGACTGTTAGCCAGACACTTGATTGTAGAAATGCAAATCACAGCAGGTATGTCGCGTCACTCAGGTGGGGGCTTTCTGTAAGGTTCCGTCATATTTCTTTCTTTACTCGACCGAGGCCTCGTCTTCAGTCTGTGTTTGTGACTTGAAACTCACACACAAACACACACTCAAACACACAGACACACGCAAACACACACACACACACACACACACAAACACATGGCTCCTTATCAAGCCTTGTAGGGAATAACTGCCCAGTCAACTGAAGACTATAGCCTTGAGCCTGTCGTCAACTGCTCAACCATCCATTTTTTTCCCCCGTCACAACTACTAACAACACATAGATACACTCTCTGTTACAAGTGTATTTATTGCCGTACGCTAATGCACTGAAATAACACCTTTATAGTTTGTCTTTAAAAACTAGCCCAATGTGAGTAGAAATATATATATGCCGAGAAGTCACTTCTTCACAAACCAGTGTCATTTTATTTCTACCAGGCGGAACTGGTTTCTTTTTTTCCTAATTTAAACGATTTACAGTCACCAGGAACTCTTAGGAAAGGACATAAAATTTCTACAGCATTTCGTAGCTGAAAACTATTCTGGTGATTTGTGTAGAATCTCTCACCTTGCTGGCTGGCCAATGTGAAGATGTGTTTTGTGTTCTTTCAGGAAGATGGAGAGGTGATTTGAAGTGAGTTATGGGTACTAAATAGGTATTCTGATATGATGACTCGCGTACTGAATCGAGAAACATATTGCTTTTGTGGTCCGGGATATATTACTGATATGTGAGTGAAGGTGAGTCATTTTCTTATATTGTCTCAGGTCTGGTGAATTTACTGACTCGTCATTTTCAGCGCTTAGTAAACTGAAGTGACTGATTGTCTGTTAACTGACCTGCTTTTCGTGTATAAAATAGCTGACTTACATGTTAAGGTGGCTGCTGCTTTCTGCATAGGAATTGTCCAAATTACAGCGACTTCCTTTACTCTGCAACACAGATCAAATCATTGAGAATGTTAACCTTTCATTTTAGCGAATGGGAAACCTTAGGAATAAATGTGATTCAAAACATTTGTTTATCTTATGATAAACGTCGCAGCTCCTTAATTATATTTATATTATAATTTTTCACATATATATATTCGCCCTCAAAATTCGAATCTATGGGTAAATAAATTTATTATATAAGAATCTTTTTTTTTTTTTACTGCCTGTTTTAAAATAATCTCTGCGGTTGTTGTGAAAGTCGACGACGCTGTCTGGAGAGAAAGCTCTAAATGTGTCAAGTGATATGACTTTGAATGATGTGATGGCACGAGCAGTCATGCGTGTCAGAGGTGGATGACGTCGGTGTCATGGGTGGATGAAGTGGGTGTAACAGGTGTCATGTGTCAGGGGGGCGAGTGCAGCTAGAGTGGCACGTGTCAAGCATGGATGAAGGGAGGGCAGCGAGGTACAAGAGTTCATATGCTGGCCAGCCAGTGTAGGTGGAGAAGGAAGAGCAGCTGGTAGGTAGCCCTTGCGAGGCGGCGAGTGAGACGTCCTCAGCTGTAGTAGCCCCGCTGCACTCCTTGCTTCCGCCGGCTGTGCCACTTGCACGTCAGGATCCTCACGTAGGTCCTCCTGAAGGCGGCGTTGCAGAGGGCGTAACACATGGGGTTGATGGTGGAATTGATGTAACATAAATAGTAAGAGAAATCCCAGAGCTGCCGCGGGATGCAGTCGTCAGCGTTACAGGCCAAGACCGTCTTGAGGAGCACCAAGACGTTGTACGGCGTCCACGTCACGATGAACGTCAACAAGATGGCTGACAGAGTCTTGGCCGCTTTCCGATCTTGCTTTTTCTCTTGGCTCTTTTTCTTCTTCTTTTTCTTGCCCGGAACGGTGGCGCCGGAGTTGGCGCCAGCGCCCGCGGCGCCGCCGCCGGAGTTGCCGCTTCCGGTACCGGAGTTCTTAGCCAGTTGCTTGGGGATGATTTTGGCGTTGAGTGGAATCTTGATATCCGGAGCGTGGGAGGACCTACGATTGGGAGTAGGGGAGGTGCCGTCCGGCCCGCCGGGGTGCAGGGAACACTCCACCCTGCTCGACTGTCCACTCGGGTCCGAACAGACAGAATCCCCGCGACGGGCCAGAGGAGAAGTCCCCCTGTCAAACCTCAACCTGTGACCTGCGTTGACCCCGCTGCCGTCTTGACCTTCCTCCTCGATCATCAGTATCGAGGGAGGGTTGAGAGGGCCGTCCTGCGACGGGTCGTGCGGGAGCCGGATGAGAATGGTGTACACGGAGTCGGACGAGTGAGAGCGAGCCTGAAGCCGCCCGCCGACCAGCTGGTTGCGGCCCGAGGCGCCGACGCCTAAGGAGCTCTCGGCCCGCGGCAGTGTGGCCGAGGCGCCGTGGTGATGATGGTGATAGGGGATGTGATGGTGATGTTCGCCCGGCCGCTCGGCCCGCTCCACGAGTGGGATCATGGAGTTCTGGCGGTACCTGGTCGGGGTGACGGTCAGAGGCTCGCGGATGTAGTTGAGAGAGGTGCAGCGAGACACGGACGACGGCAGGGTAGTCTCCACCGACCCCGGGGTGTTGTAGCCCGGGGTGTGGTAGCCCGGGGTGTTGTAGCCCGGAGTGTTGTAGCCTGAGCGGTGACCCCCGGCCTGGCTGCTGGCCTCGTCCCGGTCCACTGTCCGCTTGATGCACGAGGCCAGACCTCGACAGCACCCGGCGCTGCCCGAGCCGCCCTGTGGAGACACGCACAGTCAACCTTCCACTCAGCACATGTTCACTACGCTAAACAAAGTGGAAGTAAATACCTTTTAAGTGGCGATGTGTGACTTTGTAAGGGACGGTTGCAAAAATCCCAAGGCTGGCTTTTGCGAAATCGTTGGAATTGGAATGAGTGGTTGGACGGGTTTATCTGGGTTTAATCTGCTAGATGACAGAAGTTTGGGGGATGGATTTGGGGAAGGGAGGCAATACAATCAGGTGTTTGGCAGGAAAACAGAGTGAAAGGAAGAAAGATGGAGACAGGCCTCAAGGTTAATATCTATTAATTAATTAAGATAACAACAGTCTTAAGGTGTACTACACAAATATCAGAAATAAACAAAATAGACGATTTAAGTGCTTACGTGCGTACATGAACACTCGATATTATTGCTAAAAGAATACTCAATATTATTGCTAAAAGAATACTCAATATTATTGCTAAAAGAATACTCAATATTATTGCTAAGAGAATACTCAATATTATTGCTAAAAGAATACTCAATATTATTGCTAAGAGAATACTCAATATTATTGCTAAAAGAATACTCAATATTATTGCAGAAACTGTACCAAGATTGAATGTAGAAAGCAGAGAACAATATCATGGACATCAAATTAGAGGATTCTAATTATTTCACACTGATGGACAGATTAGACAATGTCATGGAGTAGGCATATATGTCAAGGAAAATTAAAAAAAATAAATGTCAAAGACGGGATTAAATCTGAGCAACATAAAGATTTATTTAGTGAGAATTACACAAACATAATACTAATACAACAATGGGAGTTATATTCAGGCCACCAAACTTCAACATGAACTTGAGATGAAACATCTACAACATTTATGTCAGCGTTTGCGTTATGGGCGACTTGAATTTTAGTTGAATAAACTGGACGAACAAAATAAGAAATGCAGAAGCAGATTTATTTTTAGAATTATTTGATTATTGTTGCTTTAAACAACATATTAAGAATCCAACATTGGAAAATAATATTATAGTCTCCATGCTAACCAACAGAGAGACACAAATATATAACATAGAATCAGGGAGTGAGTTAGGGAAGTGTCCACAGGGAGATCAGAATCAACATAGTACAGAATAAATATGTAAGAGGAAACTCCGTTAGAGTTCCACATTTCCGAAAAGGTGGAACCCACACCCTCACACTACACACACACACACACACACACACACACACTACACACACACACACACACACACACACACACACACACACACACACACACACACACACACACCCGCACACACCCACCCACCCACACACACCCACACACCCAACCACCTACACACACACCCCACACACACACACACCCACACCCACACACCACGTACCTGCGCCGCATACTTGGTATTCTCTATAACCATGGCTGTAGGTACATAGGTCGTCTCAATCTCATCCATAGCCGTCGAGGACTCAGATCTCTGCCTCCTCCAGTCCTCTGGCTCAACCACCTCTTCCGCCTCGCTGAAAAGGGAGCAGGGACAGATTCCCCTTGGATTAGTACCTTTCCAGACTGAGATTTACGTAAGGGAAACGGAAAAGGGGTGAATTTAAAGAATAAGAGATGGAATTAAAGGGGGAAGACTACCCCATGATCAAGAGAGCTATGGGTAGGAATATCGAAGGAGGATGCTGACATGTTTTAGTCTAGGATGCTCGGGATAGAGATGGATAGAGATGGATAGAGATGTGGATGGTGTAGGAAGGCGGATCAGCGTGCGGGTTAAGGGTCTCACGCGACATTATTCTTCCCATGCTCCTTATTTCCTATCTTTCTCAAGGAAGTCTGAGGAAACTGAGCCAACCTTTTTTTTTTACTAAAGTGAACCTAAGCTCCAGATTCTTTGACATGACACTGCATAGTATCTGAGATATAATTCAAAAGGCAAGACGTTGCGGGGAGACATAATAAGAAGAACGTGAGTATCCTGATGTTCAGTTTACTTGGTAAGTTTGGTTAGTATAGAGGCGTGGCATAGAGGGAGAGAGGTTAGGGTGGCGGGAACAGAATATAATCCAACAGAATTATATTTAATATAATTTTTTTGTTTGGAGGGGGGAAGGGATGTAACACGTCTTAACACATTATATCACAACAAAGAATATATTCATTATAGCAAACAGGAGTATAAATTTAAATACGAATTCACAATGGACAAGTGAAATGGCAGGAGGAATATTATTATGCAAATTATTCTACAATACAACACAACACTCCACAAATTTCATTCGTCCTAGAAAATATAAATGATAAAATGCTTAAGAGGACCAATAGAGGTGCTCTATAAATTTTCCCAAGATTCTCTCACAAGGAATTCATGTTTTTTTTGTTTTTAACCAATTTTTCCTCATTTGTAACCGCAAAATTAAGTTCATAAAAATATAATTTAGGAATGATCTAATGTAACCTAAGTTTGGATCTATTTCAATACAAGGGATATGAGGTTTGGGGGTTTAGTTAAACATATATATATGTAAATATATATAAATATATAACACCTTATTTAAGTGAAGATTAGGTTAGTATAATTAACTTTTGAGCAAACATATAATACACAGACTTAAGAATAAACTTAAGAAATAAGGCTCTGAGCTGAGCAAGATGACGTGACGAGGGAGAACCGTGGTGCAAGGAACAGCTTATCTTCTCAACTTGTCTTTCTTTTTCTAGCAAGAATGACGAAACAGATTTGGGAAATATAATAAAGAATGAATATTCATATTTTGGATTTGCATATTTGTTCCTAGCCAGTAAGATCACAACCCGTGTTCTACAGAAGCGTTTGGGTCGCATTTATATTTTCTCGTATAGTTGCAAAAGTTAATCGATGAACTACTTATCATATAAATCAATAAATAAATAAATATATAATATATGCACACCACACCTACCACCACCACCACACCACCACCACACAACACCTACCACCACACCACACTAACCACCACCACCACACCACACTTACCACTACTACCACCACACAACACCTACCACCACCACCACCACACAACACCTACCACCACCACACACCTACCACCACCATCACACCACACCTACCACCACCACCACACAACACCTACCACCACCACCACCACCACACCTACCACCACCACCACCACCACCTCCACACCTACCACCACCACCACACCTACCACCACCACCACACCACACCTACAACCACCATCACACCACACCACACCTACCACCACCACCACACCACACCTACCACCACCATCACACCACACCTACCACCAACACCATCACACCACACCTACCACCACCACCATCACACCACACCTACCACCACCACCATCACACACACCTGCCACCACCACCACACCACACCTACCACCACCTCCACCAAACCACACCTACCACCATCACACCACACCTACCACCACCACCATCACACACACCTACCACCACCACCACACCACACCTACCACCACCACCACCAAACCACACCTACCACCATCACACCACACCTACCACCACCACCATCACACACACCTACCACCACCACCACACCACACCTACCACCACCACCACCAAACCACACCTACCACCACCACCACACCACACCTACCACCACCATCACACCACACCTACCACCACCACCATCACACCACACCTACCACCACCACCATCACACACACCTACCACCACCATCACACCACACCTACCACCACCACCATCACACCACACCTACCACCACCATCACACCACACCTACCACCACCACCATCACACCACACCTACCACCACCACCATCACACCTACCACCACCACCACCACACCACATCTACTACCACCACCACCACACCTACCACCACCACAGCACACCACATCTACCACCACCACACCACACCTACCACCACCACCACACCTACTACCACTACCACCACACCTACCACCACCACCACCACACCTACCACCACCACAGCACACCTACCACCACCACCACACCACATCTACCACCACCACCACACCTACCACCACCACCACCACATCTACCACCACCACTACACCTACCACCACACCAACACAGACCAAGCGACAACTCATTTCACATGTTGTAAATAAAAAAGTAATTTTACCCACAACATATTTACCTAACATTGAAAATGTCTCATCACACACATGTAATGTCTCGTGACTGACGAGAAAAATATCTCACAACACCTATTTTTAATGTGAAAGTTAATTTCTAGATCAGCTTTTGCAAATATATAAAAAGATTACAAAAGTATTTAAAGATTCCACTCTAAAATGCAGTCTGCAATCTTATTGGTAGTGAACTAGTATGTATATATATATATATATATATATATATATATATATATATATATTATATATATATATATATGATATATGTGTGCGTGCGTGTGTGTGTGTGTGTGTGTGTGTGTGTGTGTGTGTGTGTGTTTTGATACATATGAATAACCACGAAGGGAAATGAATAAATAAATCACCTGAGCACTTTCGTACATTCCGGCCTCTGTCGAAAAGAATACATAATGTATACAGAAGCTATACATATAGGCAGGAATATTATGGATACCTGTATGGTGCGTTTAACAATTCTTCTACAATCTTAAACTGTAAGAGAATTATAATTCGAAATATTAATGAATGTGATTGATTGAAAATTGCTAAAATTGAACCAATATTTATTTGTTGTGTTAAAAGACGGTCTTAGTAAGAGGTTTGTTTCTCTTTAAGAACTCACGTGTTTATATATAGGACTTATATAGGTGCTATATATAGGCATTCTCCAGATTCCTCTTTTCTTCTGTCCACGAAATGCTAATAATACAAAAATCATACATCATTAATTTATTTTTAATATTCCTGCCGATGTATATTAGTTCTGTAAACATTGTGTTCACTTCTCAAAATGTAATGAAATGTCCGGAAGTGTTCAAGTATTTTCTGGTTTCATTGTTCTTACTGGTGAGACGTTTGTATGTTTGTAATTCATCTTAGTGACTTCGATCACATTGATCACAAAAAAAAAACAACGATCGCAAAAACACTGATCTAAGTATGCGGAAAACCACATTTGATGAATTTGAGATTGGTGAACGTGTTTTCGGCTCAGTTCACCTTCATCAGAGCCACTCTCTATCTTGCTCTGATCAAGGCGAATTGAGCCGACAATGCGTTCAGCATTCTCTAATTTTTCAAATGTTGGTTTTCCGCATTTATATATATATATATATATATATATATATATATATATATATATATATATATATATATATATATATATATATATATATATATATGAGAGAGAGAGCTCACTACCAAATTAATTATGGTCGGTACCTTAATTATTTAGGTAGTGAGCTCTCTCTCAGTTAATTATTCAGTCAGCCAATGGGTCGTCTCACAATATATTGATAACAAAAAGTCAAATGTAAACATTTAAGAGCTGTACCTTGCACCACGGGATTGTAACTGCGTGAACAGTAACAGAGAAAAAGAGTAGTTTAAAAAAGTAAGTTGATAGCGGAAGCAAAAAACCATTAAACTAAGAATGTGGATGCAGCAATTAAACATTAAGCTTACTAACTACATCTCTCAGTGGTTAACTACTTGCAGTTTCTCCTTGTTTAGAGCGAGGGGTGTATGGTGCCTCACCTCAACCACCACCTTCAAGACTATACTAACGTTCCCGGAAGCAGCAGGAGGAGGAGGAGGATAACACCTGAAAATCTATTTCATGTCGTGAAGAGAATCTGATCCCACGTCCAGACTGTTTCTTTACTCCAGCCTCTCCCCCTGGCTGTATAAGGTGTCAGGTCCTGCCCTCTATGTGCGATACTCGCGTTTATAGTTTGTTCTGAGTGGTGGTGGTGTTGTGAGTTGGTCTTCAACCCTAAGATCTTAGTCATGCTCTGGATTTTGTGAGATTTGAGTTTTTTTTCAGCTTCTAGTTTTTTAACACGAGTATTTGTAGAGTAGTTTTGTGTTAAATGTTTTTGTGGTGTTTATTGCATTATATTTTTTTGTGTTTTTTGTGCTTATATTTTGATAAGTATTTTGTTTTATATTAGTCTGATTCTGAACCAAAGTTAGAATTTTCTTACGTGTGTTTCTGTAAATAACAGTGAGTCTTTTTTATGTTAATATATTTGAATGAATATATTTGTATCCAAAATGAGGTATAACTATTGAATTTTATTTTTGTGAAAAATTTAAGCTATATTTATATATATGTGAGCAAAACTTAAATAGTCCCCAAGCACAGATATTACTGAAACTCTATAACGCCAGAGAGGATTCGAACCCAAGCCGCTATGGGTCTGCCCACTTACAACACCAGTGCCTTGACCACTTCACCACCGATCACCTGTATTGATTGGTCATAGAACTTATCTACACCACCTTCACGACCAACCATCACCAGGCAACACAAGGGGCAGGGAGGGCGATGGGGCCCCGGCTATTTCACTAACTCTCTGATCATGCTAGGATCACTCAGCTCACAAACGAGCTTAGTGTGACTTTGAGAATGTGTAAGAAATTTGACGAAACACCCCAGAACGCGTCGTGCGTGTGTCGTTGCGCGTTGCTTGGTCGTGTAATGGGTGTAGGTAAGTTCCATGACCAAGCAACACTTACAGATGATCGTTGGTGTCGTGGTCATGGCTCTGGGGGGTGCAGAGCCCTGGCGGGTGGTTCGAATTATCTGAGGGGTGAAAGAGTTACAATTATATATTATATATATTTATATAATTGATTTTAGCACGATTTTTCTCCATAGTTCTTATGTATTCTTCACTTCAGAAGGATTTTGACAAATTAAGATAACGAAGGTAATGTTACAGTTTGATATGGCCAGACGCTAAGAGATGTGTTTCACTGAGTGTGTCAACATTGTCATCGACAGAGGTCTAGTATATACAGGCTACCTTGAGCCACTGAATATATAACCAAGATGGATGATGTTCAGCGCCACCTACGGGCTACTCATGCCCGTGCCGTCTCGTGTGGCGGCTTAATACTCATCAATCAATCAATCAATCGAAATCCATCTCATTCTCACCATAGATTAGCTGACGGCAACGCCGCTGTTACTAACCGTAGAGCGGCTAGTTCGGTGGCCAGCAGTGATCGGAGTCTGTAACCACTTAGAGAGCGAAGGTAGAGCGACGGTCTCGCTTCATGCAGGTCGGCGTTCAATCCCCGACCGTCCAGGTGGTTGGGCACCATTCCTTTCCCCCGTCCCATCCCAAATCCTTATCCTGACCCCTTCCCAGTGCTATATAGTCGTTATGCCTTGACGCTTTCCCAAGACAAAGCCCCTCTTCTAGTGCCAGGAAAGTCCACTACGGGCTCACCATAGCCCGTGCTACTTGGAAATCTTTGTTCCCAGTAGCTGAATCTATAACAACAACAACAACATCAACAACGCTTTCTCCTCAGAGTTGCGTCTCATCATATAAGGAAATGTATATATGTTGATAACCGTATTGTATATGTACTCTTCCCGCAGTAGCCTGCGGTCTTAGGGAACCAAGATGCGCTTAAGCTAGCCGTGCTTAAGCTAGCCGTGCTTAAGCTAGCCGTGCTTAAGCTAGCCGTGCTTAAGCTAGCCGTGCGTGCCGCAGTAGGTACAAGCGGAGTGTTGCGAGTGCGTAGGTCACCCGCTCTCTCTCTCTCTCTCTCTCTCTCTCTCTCTCTCTCTCTCTCTCTCTCTCTCTCTCTCTCTCTCTCTCTCTCTCTCTCTCTCTCTCTCTCTCTCTCTCTCTCTCTCACAGCTCCAGGTGAGGTTAGGTTGACCCCCGACCCCCCCAAGGAGAGTCAGGCAGCTGCTAGTCAATAATAGATACTCTAACGGATATCTCAAAGATATTATTAATATGACTTGCCTTTGGCGAATCCAGCAGACACTACAGCATTAAATTGTCAAAACATTCCACAGAAACGTCTTTCTACGGCTCACAAAATGAGGAAAGTGTTGTGTTGAAGAAATCATTATTGATAACAGGGTGACCCTTGCAAGGTCAAGGGCACGTAGCCTTGCCAATCTACTACAAGAGCAAGATGACTAACAATTGGCTGAGGAACTGACACGACACCAAGTGAAGCATCTTGAAAGAGGCGAATATCATTTATGCCTTCATATGCCCTCTTGGGGACTGCCAGCCCCATTAATCTCAGCATATTAACACGACCTTCTCTTGCCATGATTTCGGGGCCCAATGTCCCCACGGCCCGGTCCTCGACCAGGCCTCGACGACATCAAAATCTCTTCCTAGCGTCTGACACTATATAAAATCAAGACTCTATAAAATAATACATCACATCTACACACAACTAGATCATCACCAGAGATATACTGACCAACAACAACAACAACGAAATAAACGACAAATACAACGACAAATTAACACTAACCATCTGTGAAATCCTACATATCAAACTACCTCAACCAGCTGTTAGCGGCCCGCTCACACACGCATACATTATACCACCTTCACCATCTTCAAGACCAAGGCAAGATATCCAGCACACAGCTCCAGTTATCATAAGAAAAACATAAGAACTGAAACACTGCAGAAGGTTTATCGGCCAATGGGACACATAACCCAAGCTTTCTTGGATACATATTCTGCTGCTTCAGCTAACGTAGATTTCATCTCTGTCTTGAAGAATGGTGTCAAGGTCTAGGGAACACATCTCTGAGCATCAGTTCATATTAAACTATGAAACTAACTTGGAGAGTTAATTTTCAAGTTTTTTCCTCAAGGGCAGAAAATATATGAATTACAGAGAAAAATGGTGCAAGAATCTTTGATCTTAAACATTTCTGTCTTGTAATATTGTATTCTGTTCCAAGGTAACAGTAACTGTCTTATGTGGTTGAATGTGTACTCATCTAGTTGTGCTTGTGAGGGTTGAGCTCTGGCTCTTTGGGCCCGCCTCTCAACTATCAATCAATCAACATATTTTTTTTTGTCCACACACACACACACACACACACCACCAGGAAGCAGTTCGTAGCAGCTGTCTAACTCCCAGGTACCTATTTACTGCTGGTAAACAGAGGCTTTAGGGTGAAAAAAAACTCGGCCCATTTGTTTCCGCCTCCGCCGGGGATCGAACCCGGGCCCTTCGGACTTCGAATCCCGAGCGCTGTTCACTCAACTGCCAGGTGTGTGTGAGTTTGTGTGTGTGTGTGTGTGTGTGTGTGTGTGTGTGTGTGTACTCACCTAATTGTGCTTGCGGGGGTTGAGCTCTGCTCTTTCGGCCCGCCCCCTCAACTGTCAATCAATTGTTTCTACTGTGTGTGTGTGTGTGTGTGTGTGTGTGTGTGTATGTGTGTATGTGTGTATGTGTGTGTGTGTGTGTGTGTGTGTGTGTGTGTGTGTGTATGTGTGTGTGTGTGTATGTGTGTGTATGTGTGTGTGTGTGTGTGTGTGTGTGTGTGTGTGTGTGTGTGTGTGTGTGTGTATGTGTGTATGTGTGTATGTGTGTGTGTGTGTGTGTGTGTGTGTGTGTGTGTGTATGTGTGTATGTGTGTATGTGTGTGTATGTGTGTGTGTGTGTGTGTGTGTGTGTGTGTGTGTGTGTGTGTGTGTGTGTGTGTGTGTGTGTGTGTGTAGTTAGCATAGTAGCAGCATGGAGATGAACGTACCTGGAAGCTGTTGTTGGTAGGCCTAGAGGTACACGGAGAGGCCTACGGCCTACATGCTGCCTCACAGTACCTCATCGTGTGTCCGTCTGTCTACTTCAGGGTCATTCTCATCTATTTTAAGCAACGCCTGCATCTACTTCCTCCATATTCTCTTTGAATTCACTGGACATCCTCATCTACTTTAACTGATTGTCTTCGTCTACTTCCACTGACATTCTCTTCTACTTAACTAACGTATCTTTATCTACTGAAAATCATTCAACTACGTCTATGAAAAGTTATTTTTTCTGTTTTACTGGACAAGATAATCTACTAAAAATCTATTTCAGTGATATTCTCGTTTAGTTATCTTAGGAACTATATCTACTTTAAGATACTTTATTTCATCTACTTTACTTTATTTCATCTACTAATATAGCTTCCTCAGTATCTACCGTAGTGACACGTCCTGTCTATCATAATCACACTATCTTCCTCAATCACATTATCTACTTGACTGCAATATCATTAACAATTTCAGTGACATTTGCATCTACATATCTACCTTGAAAACATTCAGAGATATAATTATTTTATGTTCAGTGGTATTGTTATCTACTTCAGTCATATCTACTTACATTTATGTGAACTCGTGTTCTACTGTGACAAACACCTACTTTAACGTGAGTACAAGCGTCATCTACCTGTGACATTATCTACTACAATGAAGTCCTGGCTTAGAAAACTGACATTATTATCTACGATAATATCATTTAACTCTAATCATATGCATCAGTGACATCTTTGTCTACTTTGGGGACAGTCATCTACCTCTTGCGTGTATTTACTGTTTCTACCTGTGACATACACATCTACTTTAAGTGACATCCTCATATACAGCAGTGAAGTCCCCATCAATTATTGACATGATGCTATCTACTTCCTTGGAGTCATCACTTCAACAATATCTACTTAATGGCATCCTCATATAGCCTATATTATCTACTTAAAGTCTGGTCTACTTTGATTTCATTGATGTTCTCATATACTTTAGCGACACAACTTACATCAATGACATTTTCCTTTGCTTCTTGTTTATATGTGACGACTTGTACACCATACTCTTCTACCTGACAGAATCTCATCTACTTCTACCCGACAGAATCCCCTCTACTTCTGTGACATCCTCATTTCAGTGAATCTACATCAGTGGGATCTCCATCTACTCTACTGAACTACTGCTACATGAAATCACCTTCTATTCAGGGCCAAGAAAGGGGGTTTTGACACTATCTACTTCTTCACTAATCTACTGATCTAGGGACGTGGTCTTCTATAGAATTCCTAGGTAACTCATCTGTGTCTAGAGGTTGTGAGCTGTCTACCTGGTTGTCTGTGTCTGTGGTGGGGAGGAAGGGGGGGGGTTACCTGCGGGAGATCCCCGTGTCTGTGAAGCTGGTTGGGTCCGGGAGGATAGGTAGACCAGGTCTGCAAATACATGGAGAGAGAGAGTGCGGTGGTGGGCACCTGCTGCCGTATTTATAGGCTCGCCTCTTGTCGTACACTGCCTGCCGTGCTGCCAGACGTATTTGCCTCTTTTTTGTTTTTTTTTAAATATTTTACTTGTCATAATATCCGAGTCGTTTAATACTTCTAACTTTTAATGAGTTGGTTTCCTTGTATATATATATATATATATATATATATATATATATATATATATATATATATATATATATATATATATATATATATATAATTCAACTCCAACTATGAGTTACTCTTTACCTGAGTCTGTAAACGATAAGTCTTTCTCCATTCGTCTCTTAAATTGATATATATCTCTCTCCAGTGTTTGGTCAATATAGTAAACAAATGGAAGTTTTGAATAGAAATTTTAAGCACCAGAGGGTAAATGAACTCTGGCGTGTAGGACGCGTAGAGTTAATCAGGTAAGTTAGTACTCTACTCCTTAAATGCGTATATTGCTGATATTTTGCGTAGAGACGTGACCTGATATCGCAGTGTGCTGGGCGTTATCTTCATGTTGACAGTCATTAAGTGGAGTGAAGCCTATTAAGCTCGCGGTCGGACAACATTGCTAACTGGATCTCCCATTCTCAATAGGATCTGGCCCTATTAGTCTGGGGCGCATGCAAAACGGACCGTTAACTGGACCTATCTGGCTCGGGGACAGGCAAAACTAACTGTTAACTGGTCCTATCTGGCTCGGGGACAGGCAAAACGGACCGTTAAATAGACCCATTAGGCTCGGGGATACCTACAACTGGCTGGCGACAAGGATCTGATAACGCTGGAGAGGAGGAGGAGAAAAACCATAACATTGTCAGCCGGCTTAAAAGCTAGCACTAAAGCTAATAATGTTTAGCGTTTTCCGCTACACTCCTTCGTCTTCGCGTCATGTTGTTGTGGTTTCTCAAGTACATGTCGAGCAAGCGGTCAGAAAAGCTCTTTGATCAAGGGGAAGAGGGGATAGGCAGGTTCGTCTGGCAGCGAGGAGAGGTGCGTCAGGGCTGGTATGGTGCGGTCAGCCTCCAGTCGTCCAGTTAGCGTTAGACTGACTGGTAGACGAGCATCCACCGCTCCAGTTTAGTAATGTGACTGACGTAGAGACGAGTGACTCGAGCTCCAGGCGTTCACTCCAAGTCGTCCGACTCAACCTTTGAGAGTCGTCAGGAGTGACTGTTTCGAACTGCGGCAGTCACCCGTCCAGATGCCAGTCAGTACTAGACTGTCTACGAGGGGACAGGATGACGTTGATGTGGTCACCGTTCAGTGGAAGGCAAAAAAATGATTATCTGTAAATTCCGCCAAAATTGGCTTCCTTGTAACGGTTTTGACTTCGAGTCAATGCCATGCCTGGCTGAATGAAGTGAATCAGTCGACAGCCCATGAACGTGTTAATGTTTCGTGACTGTGAAGTGGATTAACCCAAAAAATTTAACAAAAATTAACAAAAAAAAGTATATCAGATCAAAATGAGTTTAATTTACTTAGTAAATGAGAGGGCTTATTACGTTTAAACGGAATACCTTTTTAAATAAAAAAATATTAAAACTTTGGAATTATAAATTAGTTTATAAGTTAAAGACATATATAATAAGTAAATTAAATGTTAAACAATGATTTAGAGTGAAAAAATGATCAACAGCAGATAAATAAAGCAGATTAAGATAATTGTAGGAATGGCAATATTTAAACAAAAAGTTGAAAGTCATTATATATTAAGTCGAATCTCTTGTGAGAAACTGAACTGACTGAAGAGAAGGTTCTGTGGCCATAGGCTGCTTTCTGACTGACCACAGAACAGAAGGAAAGGTTCTGTAACCATGGGCTGCTTTCTGACTGACCACAGAACAGAAGGAAAGGTTCTGTGGCCATGGGCTGCTTTCTGACTGACCACAGAACAGAAGGAAAGGTTCTGTAACCATGGGCTGCCTTCTGACTGACCACAGAACAGAAGGAAAGGTTCTGTAACCATGGGCTGCCTTCTGACCGACCACAGAACAGAAGGAAAAGTTCTGTAACCATGGGGCTGCCTTCTGACCAACCACAGAACAGAAGGAAAAGTTCTGTAACCATGGGGCTGCCTTCTGACCGACCACAGAACAGAAGGAAAGGTTCTGTAACCATGGGGCTGCCTTCTGACCGACCACAGAACAGAAGGAAAGGTTCTGTAACCATGGGGCTGCCTTCTGCCTTCTGATCGACCACAGAACAGGAGGGAAGGCCCTGGGGCCATGGGGCTGCCTTCTGACCGACCACAGAACAGGAGGGAAGGCCCTGTAACCATGGGCTGCCTTCTGACCGACCACAGAACAGGAGGGAAGGCCCTGTAACCATGGGCTGCCTTCTGACCGACCACAGAACAGGAGGGAAGGCCCTGTAACCATGGGGCTGCCTTCTGACCGACCACAGAACAGGAGGGAAGGCCCTGTAACCATGGGGCTGCCTTCTGACCGACCACAGAACAGGAGGGAAGGCCCTGGGGCCATGGGCTGCCTTCTGACCGACCACAGAACATCATCACTGGGCTCGGGTGGATTCGTGTACACAGTTGTGCTCTGATATTAATAAACAAATAATCTACTGTACACAGCAGTAAAGAGGAAGCTGAATCTAGGAAAGTCGAGAAACGACTCTTTCTTTGCAGACATCAACGCCTTGACGAATATGTTTATTGATGTGACATATAAGTTACTTGTGATTACATTGATGCTTGTACTTAAATTAACAAGCAGACAAGCAGCAAAGAAAGAGCACGTTTTCCAGCAATCTTAAAAAATGATTTATACTTCTAATTTAATATATCTTAGTTATTCTAAATACATATTGCAATAAAATACAGCCTAGTTATACTTAATATGCATATAAGAATTAATTGCTATAAAAAGCATTAACACATTAAGAGGGAAGACAAAAGAAAATAAATAAATATATATATATATATTAAAGATCCACAAGAACCATTCAAAAACGGACAGGGAAAAGTACACCAAGGAACTGGCGCAGGAACTCAAGGAACGCCGTTCGCAAGGGGCTGAGGGCTGAGGGCTGAGGGCTGAGGGCTGAGGGGAAGGTAAGAGTGTGATCATTGGAGCCTAGTGTCCAGGGCAGGCCACCAAGAGCACACTGAGGCGGGCCATGGCCACCATCACTAGCTGTTGTGGGCAGCGGGTGGCCAAAGCCAGGGGGCTGGATATTATATACAAGGGCAGGAGACCTTTTTTTTTTTTAGTCTTTGATATTAAAAGCTTTAATGACTATCCTTGATATAATGTTATAGTTGTTATATTATAGTCCCATGTGGCTGGGTTTTGACACTGAGTATATTTTGGCAAACAGCATAGTTTGAATCATTTTGAATTACCTCGTTATTTGTCAGTTGCTGAACACTCATTCACCTCACCATGAGAGATTAGCGATGCTGAAAGACTCTAACATGGAACTAATGATAACAAGGAGGACAATTGTGGACATGTCTTATCAATAAAAGTTTACTGAAAGATAAACTCGACCTGAAGACGGCAATCGCAGGCCCTTGTTACCGCGCTACAGGTCAATATATATATATATATATATATATATATATATATATATATATATATATATATATATATATATATATATATATATATATATATATACACACCACAAATTCTTGGCCTCTGTTGAACTATAAAAAGGTGGCCGATTTCAGGTATTCAACTCCCCTCTCCATCCACACGTGTGGGATCGGAGATCAAGTTAAACAGGATCACCCACTATTTCCTCAGGGTACGATGATAGATTCCCAACTCAGATGGGATGGAGTTAGATTCCCCAGGGGAGCTTAGAGGGTGGTGCAGCTGTGTCTTGACCCATAACCCACAAGAGGTTCGAGTGGGGTTAAAGGATTTGCTTTGAGATGTGTGTGTGTGTGTGTGGGTTCTAAGAGGTATTCGATTCTCGGGTCGATGTGGTCACTGAGGGATCGTTTGGTCATAGAGTTCAAGAGTTGAAACTCGATCCTATAAACTCACAAAGATGAGTAGAAATTGGTGAGTGTAAACACACGCCATAGATACTCACACATTAACACATACACCACACACACAGACACACAGACACACAGACACACAGACAGACACACACACACACACACACACACACACACACACACACACACACACACACACACTTGCAAGCAGCAGCAACCGTAGCACGAGCAACGAACTCAACAATCAGTACCAAACGTAACATTCTTGCTCCTCAAGACGACACTATCGGGTTGGAAATGCTTTTACATTCCTCACCTTTCATTGTGAATTCTCGTCAGTGATGCTCAGTGCATAATATTTGATTACACGATTATACTTTTATTACACTATACATTATTTTGGTAGATATCTATAGATGGTTGAAGGAAGGGAGCTGTGGTGAGCTCGCCCTACGTCCGGTGAAGGTTTATCCAAACCAAAGTTGGTTAGCTCAGACGAAAGTGCTTCTCCTCGGGTCTAGGCTGAGATCATAAATGCTCTTCGACTTTGTTCTTACAGATTCAACAGCTGTCTTGCTGTTGAATTCCAGACACCACCAGATACTGGGCGGTGTGTGTATCACACAGGGCACTGTATCATATGTATCATATGTATCACATGTATCATATGTATCACAGGTAGCATATGTATCACAACAGGCACGACGTCCGATAACCTACGTCTCTTCACCAGTAGATCATCTACGCCTCTACACCAGTAGATCATCTACGCCTCTACACCAGTAGATCATCTACGCCTCTACACCAGTAGATCATCTACGCCTCTACACCAGTAGATCATCTACGCCTCTACACCAGTAGATCACCTACGCCTCTACACCAGTAGATCACCTACGCCTCTACACCAGTAGATCATCTACCTAGATCAACATCTACGTCTACGGGGTATCAGAACCACCAACAGTTTCTAAGCTGAAGCTTCACCAAT